AAAAAAGGAGGTAACCAAATGCAAGATCTGCACACTACTAGAGGCTGTGCAAAGTGCTGTCATTTGGGTTGTTGCTCTAACCCACTAAGAAGGATATTCTCTGGTACTGCACATGCACTCTTTCCTTTGAAAACCAGTACTGCCTTGAGATTTCCAGCTTAGATTTGAAAATTCTTGAACCTAGGCTAATAGCTGTATCTTTAATTATTTTCATAAATCATTAGCATCTACAGAAATAACTGGTTGGTGCAGTATTTTAACACGCAATATTATTCATTATTCTTTGCTCGTAATCTACTTCCTAGAGCTGTCACATGAAACTGCTTTTTGCTACATAAAAAGAAATATTGGCACAGTTGATTTAAATGAGATCTACACTAAAAATTAGTCACGACAATCTACAAAGTAACTAAACTATGATTTATAGATCTGTGTTTTTCAAGAACAAAACCTCCACCCTCCTGCAGTAGCTTGGTCTAACCATACAGAGCAATGCTTTGAGAGGGAGTTAGATCCAGAATATGAAAGGATGTCCAAGCTACGCTGCTTAACTTGAGAAGGCAAGTGTCTTAGATAGCCATTTTCCAATGTGGGCACATAGGAACGTAAGTTGAACTTTCATCTGGCACAACCACATTATAAAACACATCAGTTTTATAATAATAATTTAACACCTCTATTAACAATCCACATGATGGACAGAAYGAATTCTTAGGAACTGGGCAGATGAAAACAATGGTGGGACCAGTCCGTATGCTGCAGAGTAGGRTTTCCCTTCAGAAAGATTTTCATAGACTGAAAAAATGTCCTGACAGGAACCGCATGAATTTTAGAAATGCAGCGTCAAGCCCTACAGCTGGGAAAGGATAATCCCATGCAATAGGGCCRATTTAACTAGTCTGTCATTTAACTAGAAAATAGATTTGCAGAGAGTGGCTTCAATCAGCGGGGCTCTGGATAACTTGATCTAGCATTAGCCCTGTTTTGAACAGGGAAAAAAACTAAAGGACTCTCTGAAAATCATCACAACATCAGCTGTTGAAATACTTTCACATAAATTTTCCAATGAGCGGAGTGGCAAGAAATACTGATGATTCACCTAGGTGACTTATCATCTCTTCCACAGTGACCTCTGCTGACAGATCTCTAACAAACTGCAGCCATGTCTTCAGACTCTGAGATGGCCATCTTTGGGGAGGCAGCTCCTTACCTCCGMAAGTCAGAAAAGGAGAGAATCGAGGCCCAGAACAAGCCCTTYGATGCCAAATCATCAGTATTTGTGGTGCATGCCAAAGAATCCTTTGTGAAAGGGACAATCCAGAGCAGGGAAGGAGGAAAGGTCACTGTGAAGTCTGAATCAGGAGAAGTAAGTAAAAGACAAGCTTTTTAAGAGGAACATTTACTTCTCCCTCCGAGCTCTTAGCTGACATGCAYGGATCTCTCATTTCCTTGGCAGACTCTGACCGTGAAGGAAGACCAAGTCTTCTCCATGAACCCTCCCAAGTATGACAAAATCGAGGACATGGCCATGATGACCCACCTCCATGAGCCCGCTGTGCTGTATAACCTCAAAGAGCGTTATGCAGCCTGGATGATCTACGTAAGTACAGGCCTCGGTCTCCTCTCAAGCAGCTAGCAAGAAGCGCTGCCCCAAGGCAGGTGGAAGCCAACTTGCTGTGTCCTGTCCTTGCAGACCTACTCGGGTCTCTTCTGTGTCACTGTCAACCCCTACAAGTGGCTGCCGGTGTACAACCCGGAGGTGGTGTTGGCCTACCGAGGCAAAAAGCGCCAGGAGGCCCCTCCGCACATCTTCTCCATCTCTGACAACGCCTATCAGTTCATGTTAACTGGTGAGTGGTCCTCAAAGTGATTTTATTAAAACGATCAAAAAGATATTTTTAAAATAATCAAAGGTTTCCCTATAATTATGTTTTTATTTTTAATATAGCATTAGAGAGTTTTTTTCAGTAATATCATTAATCATTGACTTCAACTAATCAAAATTATGAAAGAAATCAATGCATGAATTCCATATGTGAATGGAATGTTATGTGAACATTCTGTCATACCATCTGAAGTGAGCTAACCAAAGGGGTACAGGAGATGTTAATTTACTAATATTTCAAACATTCCTACTTAAAGCAATAACATAAAAAAAAAGAAAAAATATACATAAAAATGGAATTTATAAATGATAGCTTTTCTTCCTTTCTTTTCTTTTCACTATTTAGTTCATTGTGCACTATGGGCTTTTTTTGCTGCTCTTGTTGTAAATTATTATCTTTTTTCTACTTTCAAAGCTGTTAACTGTTTTTCAATTTAAAATGAATACAGTCTGCTTAGCAAAGAGTGAACAAAACAAAAAAGTCACTGTTAAAAAGCAAGTCATTGGAAATGATTTAGGAAAGCTAGCAGACTGAAAATTGTCTGCAACTAATAAACAAGAAAATACACATGTAACATTTTTTTAGCATAACCTACACTTGCTACATTCATTCTCATTTTTGGTTTGTTCTTCATTTACAAAGTGTCTTTGTTTCTGTCTCTATCATAGATCGCGAGAATCAGTCAATCCTGATCACGTACGTACATTCCCTGCTAGGATTCCTGATTCCTGTTATTCTGTGCCAGGGGACCTGCTGCCTGACYATACGTTCTCTGCTTCTCTCTCTTTTGCTTCCCAGCGGAGAATCCGGGGCAGGCAAGACTGTGAACACCAAGCGTGTCATCCAGTACTTTGCAACAATTGCAGCCAGCGGGGAGAAGAAGAAGGAGGAGCAGCCTGGCAAAATGCAGGTAAATCAGCAGATCCTCTCCTGAAAGATTGCTTTGCTCTGTACCTGTCACAATTTTGAGAAGGATAACCAGGAATACTTATTCACCTTGTAGGGCACGCTTGAGGATCAAATCATCAGCGCCAACCCCCTGCTAGAGGCCTTTGGAAATGCCAAGACYGTGAGGAATGACAACTCCTCACGCTTTGTAAGTTTTTGGTCACAGAAGTTCACATTTACAGGTGAACAACAATGCGTGAACTGTCACTTCTGAAATGCCACAGTGTAATGGTCAGAGTCACTGCGCTCATGTTTTCCTTTTATGTCTGTCAAGTGTTCAAATGATAAAAGACACATAAAAAGCACAGTGATGCAAACACTTCTACAAAGAGGTTGATTTGAGAAAGAGATATACATGAATATATATTTATACACATATGTGGATATAATCTGTTTAATCTTTTACTGTTAAATTGCATTCCTCATAGATGACTTGCAGCTTTTAGGTCTCTTATTTATTAAGAAATATTGTATTTCATAAAATGGCATTTAAGTKTATTATAGCTATGATTTCTTCAAAAATCAGCTCATGTTTTAATTCTCATTTTGTTCAAGTAAGCACTGTTCAACTTTAAGTGTATTAAGATGTCATTTTTTAATAATATAGGCATGTGGCAGAAGGTAGGAATGGAAGAAGATAGGRAAGGAAGGAGGAAGGAAAGAAATAACCGACAACAGCTGTGCAAGGAGAAGACAAAGATGCCTTCAAGACATCATGCAGCAGTGCACTACATAATTTAAGATTACAAACAGTGTCTTTCTTGTTAAATTCCAATGGTCTTTTTTCCTTTCACCTCTAAAGGGCAAATTCATCAGAATCCACTTTGGAGCCACAGGGAAATTGGCTTCTGCTGATATAGAAACATGTAAGAAAGTCTCTTTGTCCTGATAACAACCCTTTCTCATTTCCTCAAATTTGTGCTAATTCTTTCAATGTTATTTGCCAGATCTGTTGGAAAAGTCCAGAGTTACTTTCCAGCTGAAGGCAGAAAGAAGCTACCACATATTTTATCAGATCATGTCCAACAAGAAACCAGAGCTAATTGGTAGGAAGTAGTATAAATTGTTTGATGTAATCAAATCAGTGGATAATATTAACTTCATTCTTACACCCATGTATGCCCTATTCCTCTTTTCAGACATGCTCCTCATTACTACCAACCCATACGACTACCACTTTGTAAGCCAAGGCGAGATCACTGTTCCCAGTATTAATGACCAGGAGGAGCTGATGGCTACAGATGTAAGTAATGCATAAAAGGTTTTATATATGGATTGCTACATATAATATGCCTGGTTTTCACTTTACTGACTCTGTCACCAGAGTGCCATTGACATCCTGGGCTTCACTGCTGATGAAAAGACCGCCATCTACAAGCTGACRGGGGCTGTCATGCACTACGGGAACTTGAAGTTCAAGCAGAAACAACGAGAGGAGCAGGCAGAGCCAGATGGCACAGAAGGTACTAGCAAAATGTAGAACTCTCAATAATAGAAACATTAGTGCAACTAGTAGGTGGCAAAATAGAAGATAAAGTCAAAATATCATATGCAGTTCTGTTTAAGGAAACATATTCAAAACAAACAACTTTGCACATACTTAGCTGAGGATTTTCTCGGTCACAAATGCCAATTAGGTTGCTTACTGCAATTCTGTATTATAAAAACAGAAATTATGGTTTCCATAATTTTCATGCTTCTAGCTGCTTAGGCAGGCTAACACAGGGCTGCAGTAGTAGAACATACAGAACTGCACGTAGTTCTTAGAGAATATACACTATG